TGTCTTTGAGTGTGTGTGTGTGTGTGTGTCTGTGTGTGTGTGAGTGAGTGAGTGTGTCTTTGTGTGTGTGTGTGCGTGTGTGTGTATGTCTGTGAGTGTGTGTGTGTGTGTGTGTGTGTGTGTATGTGTGTGTGAAAAATTACAGGTTTGGACATATAAGGTAATAAAAAATATTTTTAAAAATACTTTAAAGTAACTACAAATGAGCATGTAAAGCAAATATCTTTCAAAGTAATTCTGTGTGGAGCATGTCCCCGATCTGCGCAATCTTCTCTAATTCTAAGAGCACGGCCCCGACTACAACACTAATATGAACTAATGTAGTTTAACAGTTAATCCATCAGCAGGTCTTCTGACTGATGTTCACAGGAAATATTTTTATTTTGGCAGGATGTACAAACATGTGTTGCACAATTTAGCCACATGTTTAAATACTGGAAATACTGGAAACATGAACAGATGCAATATGATGCAACGCTGATATCATGACAGGAATATTTGCATTATTAAAATGAATTATTTAGCTGTCACTCACAGCTACTGCACTTCCAGCGTCTTCTCTCCCGTCAATTCTTTTATCTGCTTAACAGGGAGATCAGTTAGAAAATACTACAATGATTTCAAAAAAAAAAAAACGATATGGTGAGACCCAAAAAATTACAACGCTACTTTTCTCCGCAAATGTTATTAAAATAAAATAATAACAATAATAATAAAATTTCATTAAATTCACAATTTGTCTATTTAATTCTGTTGTATTATAATCTTCACAACAACTTACACTGAAATGCTGACATGAATATCTGACTTTTTTATTTAAAAAAATGTAGTTGAAATGGTTAATGTCATAGATTGTCCACATATCTACATGTTTTTTCTTTATTCCATGATTCAATTTTGTAATAATATAACCGCCTCAAATACATCAAGCCATATGATATATGACAAAAATACCGAAATGACATTTCTAACGAATTATCAAATCATCAAAACTGACCAACCAATAGCCGGGGTTTTAAGATTTGAACGAACCAATGGGAATTGAGATGGGCGTGTCCCCGCGAAATTCAAGCGTCAGTTTCTGCGTTAGCTGTAGTGTGTGCTAATAGACTCGTGTACGAAGTGCATTATGAACAAACGTTGTATTTATTTTGATGAAATATTTGGTGAGTGATCGGATAAAGCGATGGAAACTGTGACGGATGAAGACGCATCTAAACGATCTAAGATAGGTAAGTTAAAGCGCTAAGTTTACACATGTTTATGTTTCAGAAAGATATTATATTTAGTTGCTGGTGGTGTATGATCATGTTTCCATCAGGGCAACAGCTTTATAAACCTACAATTGTGTCAAAAAGATCACACATCCTGAAATAATGTCCCTTCTTGCCTTTAGTAGTTCATTTAAAGTGTTATGCTAATGCTAAGTGCTAGTGTTTGGAACAGTTGTAGAGTAGATGGAGAATGGAAACTTTTAAAAATATTTTATATATGTGTATTTTATATAATATAAACATATATGGTGATGAAATCCAAAATATTAAATGTCATGGATGTATATTTACTGAGCTATCAACTTTTTTTTATTTGTTTATTTATTTATTTTTAATGACAATTTTCAAGATTTGGAGCCAATTTACAATGGTGTAAAAATGGAGAAAAAAGATGACAGTATTATTTTATTTTCACACAGAGACTGGTACATCTGTTAGTAGAATCTGTTGACTTTAGTGATCTTGGTTTTATTATATGCCAACAATTTGAACGTGGAGCTGCTGTGAACTTCCCATATCTAGCAAATAAACTATATGGGGCCTTAAAAATGGATTTTCCAAAAGAGAAGTTGATTAAGAATGAGAATCTAGAAGGATAGGAAGATATCATGAATGCTTTCAGAGTTACAGGCATGCAAACTTGAGAAAAACACAATATATGGCATTTACAGACAGTTGTGTTTGATTTAATTGAGCTGAGAGAAACAAATGAGATGCATTTCTAGTTTCAACATTATTTGTTCTTCAGATATTGCTCTTTAAAATAAAAAAGTATCGGGTGAAATGCAAAGTGACCCACGTTTGGTTTTTGACCGCTGAATATGTGAACAATTGACCAATTTCTCATGCAGCCGCATTCAGAGCTCCGTATCTCTGGAACTGAACCATCGAGGGCCTTTAAAGTGAAGATATCAGAAGGAAAGTTTCTTCAGACCCAGAATCTAAAATTATATTAAGATATCTTTAATACTTCTTGAGTTACAGGCATGCAAACTTAAGACAAAAAAGGCCATTTTTGAGCTGTCACTGTTATCATATAATGAAACAAATATTACTAAAGTCAACAGGATTTACTAAAAGACATACCAGTCTCTGCATAAAAATAAAATAACGATGCTGCCATCTTTCTGAAGTTATGTTTATACACCAGTAAATTGGCTCCAAATCTCTTGTCATTTTGACCCCACGCTACAAAAATAGTGGATTACTCTGTAAATATACATCTGTGTCTGTGGCATATATATGTTTTGGCTTTCATCACTATATATATGTTTGTCTTACTACAGAAAAAATATTGAAAAATCAAATTTCTGTGTGACTACATTATTGTCCTGCATATTACACTGCTATTTATATATAAAAAAATATAATATTGTATTATATATATATATATATAATTATTATGTGTGAAGAAAGTTACAAGACAAAATGCAAATCTAGCACATCTGTGACACTTATTAAATGCATGCATTGTTAAATTGCAAACGTGTTTCTCTTTGGTTTACAGAGCTACGCAAACTGAAATTGGCAGAATACCTTGCGGCCAAAGGCAGACTGAAAGCACCTAATCCAAAGTAGGTGGTCTTGAAAGGTCTTTCCGTCTGTAACAACTGTTGAATTTATACTTTTTCCAATTTAAAATAAAAAATACATAGCCTATTTTCCGCATTCAGAACTGCCTTAGCGTGTTTGTTCTGAATCGACTGTTTTTTGTTGTTTTACTCAAAGACCATATCTCAAGGAGAAGCCTGTTACAAAGAAACATGCTGAAAATAACCAGAAGTCCAAAACTGTAAGTTAAATACATTTTGTGAAACTTTGCAGCATTCAGTCAGTGTGATGAAAGTCTGCACTATGTCTCTTTGGTTCTCTCAGACAGCTGAAGGAAAGGAGAATTGTGGCATCAATGGCACAAATATAAAAGAAGTTGATAAAGAGGATGATAAAAACACATCCTCAAAAAAAGGACTTGGTATGAGTTCGCTAGCCAAAGCCCAAACACAGCTGTCCAGTAATTCCCGTAATGCTAGCCGGGAAGGCCTTCGTGTTTTGAGGACACAGAGCAACAAAACAGCTTCTCTTCAAAATCCAAGGAAACTCCACAATGCTGAGAAAACAACTGCGCCGTTCAAGAGGACTCGTTCACAACGCCTTCGAAGTGTCCAACCCAAAGCTCAGCCAGCTTCCCAATCCCATGCTGCAAATACAAGCAAATCCAGTCTTGTTTCCATCTGTAACCCTTCACAGTCTGCACGTGGCGTCTCTGCCCTCAGAAGCACGGATCAGAGCCGCACCAAGACGGACATTCAGTCAACGTCAAAGAAATTACCTGAAACGAGTGTCAAATCAACCTCAGCTGCCCGTTTGACAAGTCAAAGACCAATGAATACAACCGAGACAAAAATGCAGAGAAACGGTGTTTCTAAAACCCAAGCGAAACCCATGCAACAACCCAGAAGTCCGAGTGCTGTGCACAGCCGCAACCGGAAACCAAACCCATCGACGAACAGATCCGTCGTGAACCGGAGAAAAGATACTTTCTTCGTAGATGCCACTAAATCGAAATCAAATGGCTCTGACACAATCAGAGCGACGAGAGCGAGCGCCTCTTCGACTCTCTCTAAACCTGCGAATAGAGAAGCAGCAGCGGCGGTCATCAAAAATAAACAACTAAATAATGCCGCTGCTTCTACCAAACCGGCCGGTCGACGCTCCAGGAGTTGTGTTCTGCCGCAGACGACCAGTGCGCCTCCAGAGCTTCACCGGCCCGCTAAGATCTCCAGCCAGGCCGAGTCTGCAGTTCAACTGCAGACTCCGAAATCCAGACTGTGTCCCAGCACTCAAGGAGTACGCACCGCTCCGGTAGATGGAGAGAAGAAGCCCACTGCAGCTCAGGAGGACAGACTGTGAGTATACTGCTGTCTGAAGTAGGGGTGTGCAATACAATATCCTAATTGTTGTTTTAACAGTGTGTGATTTGACATTATCGAGTAGGCTAAAAACCAAACAAAACACCTACGGAGTGCAAGCATACATTTAGTGGTGAAGTCTAGTAGGTTAGACTAGTGTGCATTTAGAGTGTGTTCTCTCATTGCATGATTCAATCTATTAAAATATATTTAGAATGATCACAAAATTCAAAATATGGGGGTCATATGATGTTGCTAAAAAGAACATTATTTAGTGTATTTAGTGTAATGAAATGTGTTTATGCGGTTTAAGGTTCAAAAAACACATTATCAGGGCTCCAGACTGCGACTAAAACGGTCGCATTTGCGACCAAAAATGTTAATTTGCGAGTGAAGTTTCTGCTGAGGTCGCCACTGGCGACTATATATATTTACACGTTATGACTTAAACATTTGCATGTAATGCCTTTTTCCTGATTGTTTTGCGATCGCATCATTTGCTGTTCACGTATTAAACTGAGACTATTCGCATCAAAGTTTTAGTGGACAAAAGCGTTTCAAACAGTCCTCGTCTCTGCAGCACACCTGCTAAACGCAGCTCAGTTGTGCAGCGCGAGAGAGATCGACATGACGGAGACGTGCAAAGTGCACAAAAGCAGAGTCTATTTCGTGCACAACTTGAACAAGTGAACAACTGAAATGTCTCATTTAAAAGCTCATTCAGTGTTTCAAACTGAGAAAACCTGTAAAGCTTGTAAACATTGCAACGTAATATACATTTACCTCGGAATAACCATCAGGTGTCCATAAGCTCATCAGTCAGCTAGAAAAATAACTGTAAAGATGAGCATTTAGCTATATTTATGCACTATTGGATGTTAATATTTTTACTTAACCTGTTGTAACACATGAAAGTATGATTGAAATGTAAAAAATAAAATAAAACACGTTTATTCTGTGGCACCTACAAATAATAATTTGGCGCCTACAATTTTTTCTTATAGGAGCCAATGGCTCCTTACTCGATTTTTTTTTTTGTAGCCCTGATTATTTTCCACATACTGTACATTATTGTTTCTCCTCTATGCCCCGCCTTTCTGAAACACGTCGAT